ACAAAGAAATCCTGTCCTACTCACTCAAAGTCTTGGTGTTCAACACTCAGTACAATTTTGCAGCATTATGAGAAGATTCCCTCATAAAAGCTTGGGGAGATACTATGTATATAACGTTAATTTAAATATCAAGATTCCAAATTGCTTAGACAGGATAAATTCAACTAAGCAAGGACTATTCAAGGGAATAAGACAATATTCGTGTTCATTCATGAAGGCATTATTTAACAAATAATAAGTGAGTGCCTTGAATGTCAGGCATGATTCTTGGTGGTGGGGATACAACCGTGAACAAAACAGAAAAAGCACCTGTCTTCATGGAGTTTATCTATATTATTGAGGGGGAGATAGCCAAAAACTAAAAATTACACAAAGGACAAGATCATTTCAGCTGTGACAAGTGCAACAAAGGAAAAGTGCCAGGATCAACTTGGGTGGTCAGATGTCTTCCCAGGTCCCCTTCACAAATCATGTCAGCCAACGAGTATAGCAAACATTAGGAGAGGTTTCCTTTAAGTCGTGGAATGATGAAATGGTTTTCTCCTTTATGTTTTCTACATTATCTAATTTTTTGCAATGAGGATGTTATTTGATTTACGTAATCAAATTGACAAAATTTATTAAATAATACATAAAAACATTCTCATTAAAGTTTCAGCTGCTAAAGATAAAATTAGGAGTTTCCTTTGCCAAGGGGAAGGAGACAGGCATAAAGTAATATTATAAATGAACTTTATTAAAAGTGACAGAAATGAACTTTATTAAAAGTGACTTTATTAAAAGGTCCGTGTTTGGTGCCTCTGCTGCATAACTGGAACAAGTTTTCTCGGAAACAGTAATCTCTATTTCCAGAAGTATAAGACAGCATACTTCACTATTTTTAACACAAACGCTTCCTTCTTTAACTTATGAAGAGTGCTATCAGCAGGGATACCATTGTTAGTTCCATGTGATCCTAGAGATAATTCTGTGATTTTATCGTAGATAAGGAGCAAGAAGCACTTTTCGGGAGTTTGGTTCACATATTATGGAGACGTTAGTAAACCTCAGCAGAACCAAGCTCTTTTTTTTTAAAATACCTTCTTGGTCAAATGTTCAAACTCAGGTTGAAAACGTTGTTGATTGCCACAAAACCAACTGTGGACATGAGTCATCAACACTGACTACAATTCAGCAGGACGTAAGGCATATTCTTGCTGCACGTATCTGGGAAGGAGGAACTACCATGAATGTTACAGTCCTCGGATGACAGGATCGGTAACCAGTGCGTCACAGGACTTTCATGTGCCGTGCCTCCCCTGACCAGTACTTGACATTGACGAGAAGTGACACAGGTGAGGGAATGGGGACCAGCTCACTTTTTATTTAAAGCATACAGTCCGCTGTAAGCAATGTAATACAATCCAGAACAGTACGAAACAGGAAGAAACAATCTACTTAATTTGATCAAAACCAAAACAAACAGAAGTGTTATTTTCTTTGTCTCTGCTCTGCTAATGCACATACAAGTTTCTAGATAAACATTAATATAACCACTAGAAAAATGGGGAGGGAGTTATAGGGGAAGGTTCAATAAAGTGCCAAAACAGATAAAGCTGATATACTGGACCCAAGTCTCGTTAAACTGTAATTGTTTTCCCTCAGTCTTCTGTGTCCCTTTGCTTCCCCCCTCCTGTTATAGAACATCAATTAAAATTCTTTTTCCTTGGTGTTACAGTGAAGAGCATTCAGTGATTCTCAAGGAAAAACAGGCATCTATTTCTCTTTTCCCAGGCTTTCTTCTCTTTCCTTGAAAGAAAAAAAAAAAAAAAGAGGCAACAAGGAGACTGTTTGGTGCTGCCCAGTTCCCCATCTTGCGATGCTGATGTAACGAGCTGGGGGCGCCCTGACGGGCTGACTGAGAACTGGTCATGCTTTCTTCACACATGGAGCGGCAATCAGCTTACAAGTAAATCACCTCTGAGCACAAGCTGTCTCCACAAAGGCAGCCAAAGAGGCAGCATTCCAAGGCTGACAAAACATCCCTAAAGCGTGAAAGTAAAGGAGACCCTGAGGCTGCTGGAGGGAGAGGCTTCCAACATTAATCCCCACCCTGTCAGGCATTGTGCGCACTCCAGAGGGAGCTTGACCGATGGAATACCATCTGAAGTTCACACTTGGAAAAAGCCACAAGTTCAACATCAGGAGTGAGGGGAAAGTGTCAAGATATAGGATAAACAAATAAATAAGAAGAGGGGGAGAAAAGAATAAGAAGGGAATGCAGTGTTGTGTGGTGACACCCAGAGCTGATGATGTCTGTTGCCTCTTAAGCTTCCAGTGAACTCCATTAATTATTCATAAGCGGACATTTTGTGAATTGCATACACTTTGCATGTCATTTACTTTCTAATGTAAACATTGAGAAGAGAGTCATTTCTTGAAAGTGCAAATGTTTTTTGCAAGAAACACTTTGAAAAATCATAACACTGACCAAAGATCAACAAATGACATCTAAAACACAGTCTAAATATAGTAAGTCTGTTCTTCCTGAGCAGACTGTTAGTTAATGCTCTATAAATTATTTACAATCATGGTACTGGTGAGCTTAGAAATGAGTTGAACCAGAAGAAATGCACCAGCTCTCACTTACTCTGGTCCTGAGATCTGCACTACTTCTGCTTACGGGATACGTCATCTATTTATCTATCTACGTTACCTACACATTTGTCTGCCTATCCCTACCTATGCATACTTTCATGCATCCAACACTTACCAAGCAGCTCACATATTGCTTGTGGCTGTATTTACATCTTTGTCATATCATCGCTCTCCTCTTCTAAAGAGACTTCCACAGTAACAAGTTACATCCTTTTTTTTTTGGCCGCATCACACTGCCAAGGAAGTCCCCCGTAAGTCCCCTACATAAGAACAAGTTCCATTCTGAGAGCACGTTTGTAAGCCTAGTTTGTTTGTAAGTCCAACAAAGTTAGCCTAGGTACCCAACTAACACAATTGGCTATATAGTACTGTACTATAATAGATTTATAATACTTTTCACACAAAGAATACATAGAAAAAAAACACAAAAGATAGTACTGTACTATAATAGATTTATAATACTTTTCACACAAAGAATACATAGAAAAAAAACACAAAAGATAAAGAAAACATTTTAAATCTTACAGTACAGTACCTTGAAAAGTACAGTCGTACCAGCTATATCACCACTGTTTTTACTCTTGCTTCTGGACATCTTGGGGTTGAAATAAAGATACTGTACTACTGTACTCTATACAGTGCTATACAGTAAAGTACACAAAAGCACAACCACTTGTAGAGGATGCACGCACGTGACAATGTATGTCAGACACGTGAACTAACTTACGTGATTGGACATATGAACACACATTCACATCTTGGAAAATTCGCAATTTGAAGGTTCGTATGTACATCCTTTTTTTTTTTTTTTTTTTTTTTGCGGTACACGGGTCTCTCACTGTTGTGGCCTCTCCCATTGCGGAGCACAGGCTCCGGATGTGCAGGCTCAGCGGCCATGGCTCGGGAGCCCAGCCGCTCCGCGGCATGTGGGATCTTCCCAGACCAGGGCATGAACCCGTGTCCCCTGCATCGGCAGGTGGACTCTCAACCACTGCGCCACCAGGGAAGCCCTGTACATCCTTTTTTGATAGACTTTTTCAAAGAGACATTTGATAAGATCCGTATATGATCCTTTTTTGATAGACTTTTTTTTTTTGTAGACTCTTTCACAGAGACATTTGATAAGATCTGTATATGAAAAATGTTTAATTCCAGGTTATTAACATGCAAATGTCAATTTCCTTTTAACCGAGCTAAGCAAAATAATCAAAACATTGAGCCTACTAAAAATTGATTGTGAAAAAAAATTGAATAGGAGATATACAAGGTTTAGAACTAGATATGGAAAGAAAAAGAAAACTAAGAGATTAGTTCACAGGTATGCGTAGCTTACCCCATTTATTTAATGATATTAACTTATAGTTATATAGTGGGGGGTTTTTTGCCAGATGCTATTCTAAGCACTTAGAAGTATTAATTCCTTTAATGCATACCATAATTTTGTCATATAAATCCTATATTCATCATATTTTATAGATCAGGAAACTAAGGTCCAGAAACTTGCCAAGGTCATACAGCTAATAAGTAATGGAGATGAAATTTGAACCCCAGCAGTCCTGATCCAGAAGCTGAGCTCTTAACCTCTTTGCTACACAGCCTTCATGTTAAAGCATATTTATGATTTTTTAAATCAGCTCCTTTTAAGGAATTTTGACACTTAATTTTCTAAATGAAAAATAAATGTCATTTTATTAATTTGCAAAAATAAATATGAGCAGCTCATTAAGCAGATCAAACTCTTATATCAGCTTAGCCAGCACGCAATTCCTGCTACCTGGGAAGTCAAAACATGAGAAGAATGCTTGATAAGGAAGGGATTAGAACAAAATGTTCATTGCAGCTCTATTTACAATAGCCAGGACATGGAAGCAACCTAAGTGTCCATCATCGGATGAATGGATAAAGAAGATGTGGCACATATATACAATGGAATATTACTCAGCCATAAAAAGAAATGAAATTGAGTTATTTGTAGTGAGGTGGATGGACCTAGAGTCTGTCATACAGAGTGAAGTAAGTCAGAAAGAGAAAGACAAATACGGTATGCTAACACACATATATGGAATCTAAGAAAAAAAAATGTCATGAAGAACCTAGGGGTAAGACAGGAATAAAGACACAGACCTACTAGAGAATGGACTTGAGGATATGGGGAGGGGGAAGGGTAAGCTGTGACAAAGCGAGAGAGAGGCATGGACACATATACGCTACCAAAGGTAAAATAGATAGCTAGTGGGAAGTAGCCGCACAGCACAGGGAGATCAGCTCGTTGCTTTGTGACCACCTAGAGGGGTGGGATAGGGAGGGTAGGAGGGAGGGAGACGCAAGAGGGAAGAGATATGGGAACATATGTTTATATATAACTGATTCACTTTGTTATAAAGCAGAAACTAACACACCATTGTAAAGCAATTTTATTCCAATAAAGATGTAAAAAAAAAAAAAGGAATTCACTACAAGCCTTCGTCAGTTGGGGCTGCAATCACAAAAATACTATAGACTGGGCTTAAACAGCAAACATTTATTTCTCTCAGTTATGGAGCTGGGAAGTCCCCGAAAAAGGTGCCAGCAGATCCAGTGTCTGGTGGTGACACTTCCTGTTTGCAGATGGCCATCCTCTCCTTATATCCTCACATACTGGAGAACAGAGAGAGCAAACTCTCCTGTTTCTTCTTATAAGGGGCACTAACCCTATTCATTAGGGCTCCACTTTCATGACCTAATTACTTCTCAGAGTCCCCACTTCTTAGTACCATCACATTGGGGATTAGGATTTCAACATATGGATTTTGCAGGGACACGAACATTGTCTGTAACACTATGTGATACAAACGTAGAGCAGCATCAGGTCCTGATGTCCTGCTGCATCCATCTCCACCAAAGGTGGAATCAAGCTTTGTGCTGATCTGATTCAAGAGCCTTTCAAGAGCTGGCCTAGAGGAATCAAACTTATCCTCTGCTTTTGGATAGAGATATTTCACATACTAGCCTTTTTAAAGATAACCGTACTTAGCATCAAGTGTATGAACTTTTCATTTGGAGACCACCATACAACCAAAGAAGGCAGGATATATATTCAGGTCAAGAGTGACCACAAAGAGGATCTTGAGGGCAAATTAAGAACATACCAGAGAACAGTTTCAAGCAGTATGGGCTACAATTTTAAATGCTGTGAAAATATCACAATAATCTCAAAATTGTTTATGTTTTAATTGAGACTGATTTAAATTACTTTAAAAGCCTGTGGTTATCATTGAAACTCAACAAAAATCACAATGATCATAATAATGTTATTCCTGAGAAGTAGGAGTCGAATCTAGATTGTGATCAACTCTGTTTCATAAAGTCGTACCTATAATACAGTCAACTGAATGTGTTACAAATGGATTAGATATTTTCTGTGCATTTGAGGAATGGAGGGTGGGGGAAGAGGGTGGCTCAGGACTTAAAATCTATAATCCTATCACACAGTCTAATACAGTCACCAGGTACAGCCCATCTTCTAGTTTGTGTGTGAAATTGAGATGGAGAGACACTTTGCAAAACATACTAGTTCAGTCCAGAGTAGTCTTGCCTCTTACCTTGTTTTTTAGACTTTTTGATACTACTCTGTATCAAAAGTGGTTTATTCAAAGAAATGAGTAATAAGATATCACTAATCACATGGTTGAAAGTCTTTTTTTTTTCAACTTTTTTTTTTAACATCTTTATTGGAGTTGAAAGTCTTAAAAAAGGTTGTAATCATTGTTTGGTAAAGAGTGTGTTCTCTGTTTTGCTAGCAAGAGTATAAATTGGAATATACCATCTCATATGAAGAAAAAATGGCATCAGTAGCCTTATAATTTTTCATATCATTTGATCCAGTAATTATTGTTTCAGAAATGAATGCTAGGAAAATTAAAATCTACTTAAAGATTGATATATAAGAATATCCCTCATAACATTTATAATGATAAAACACTGGACCTAGATTTCTGCTATCAAGTGAATGGTTACATTATTGGTTATATTATTCACTTTAACTGCCGGGTCAATGATTACCCAGGTTTCAGAGGACATTCACTACTGAATTCCCTCAAGAGAGTGTGTCAATTATTCTCCCCCAGCTCCGTGCTGAGCGAGCAGGACTCATCTGGCTCCATCCTCGACGCTGTCTCTCAGGTTGCTGCCTCATCGCTTTCCTCTTTAGTTTTCCACAGTGACTCAGATCTGCATCTCACTCCTCAAAGCATCAAGCTGCACAATCTGGCTCCAATCCCTAACCTCTCAGCTGTCGTCCCCTCCTCCACACTCCTCAGGAAGGAGCAAAGTAGCACATTTCTCAGTAGTGAATCTGTAAGTTATTGGTCCTCAGGGACCCAATTAAGAAGGGGTATGTCATTAGGAATCCATGCAGTATTTGGCTATTACAGAGCCAGGCATACAACAGGTGGTCACTTCCTGGGAAATCTGTCTGCCTGGAGCAGAAACCTCACCAAGGAGCTGAGGAACGGGGCTGGGTCCAGAGGAATGCAAAGAACTGCTTGGAGCTCTGTTTGATCAGGGTCTGAGCCCACATGTAGGAACTGTCCAGCCTTAGGGGTCTGCAGAAAATAGGCACAGAAGATTAGGGAGAAGCGGGCACCAGTTAGTAACATCATGCTTACATCTGCAGAGTGACCCCTCAGGCAATGGGAGATGTGCTTCCTTGGGCTGGCTTTTTGGGTTAGCCATAAAATTCCCCATCTGCTCCTGCATCTGCAGCCAACATCTCACCTTAGGGAATGATTCCATCAGATCCCAACTTGTTTCTCCCTCCTTAGCAATTTCTGTAAACTAAACCCTATCTCGGGGATCTTCAGACATTTTTACTTACATATTTTCTAAAGTAATTTATAAAACGATGTACTCTCACACACATTTTTTTTTTTTTTTTGCGGTACGCGGGCCTCTCACTGTTGTGGCCTCTCCCGTTGCGGAGCACAGGCTCCTGACGCACAGCCTCAGCGGCCATGGCTCACGGGCCCAGCCGCTCCGCGGCATGTGGGATCTTCCCGGACCGGGGCACGAATCCGTGTCCCCTGCATCGGCAGGCGGACTCTCAACCACTGCGCCACCAGGGAAGCCCACCTCACACACATTTTTAAGTTCACAGGGAATACTACTCATCTTAAGTTTAAATAATTGCAAAGAATATAAATTCTGATGTATTCCAAATTTGACATTTTAAAATAAATCTGTTAAAAACTCTTGGAAAAGTATCCAAAGTGTTATGGCTCCATAATATGTTGGCTAGGTTAGGCTACACTATTTTCCCCAGAATTCTCTTTCCTGTGTGTTTCTGGTAAGGGTGGGCCACAGGAAGGAGTCTTGTGGGAAATTGGAGAACAGTGAAGCAGCAGCCATTTTGTGGTTCACGTGAATCTTTGCTTCCCTGCCGGCTCACCTTGTTGGAGAGGATCTGCAACTGTTCTATCTGCTCCTTCAGCTCCTCCAGTTCCTGGGACAAGTGTGTATTTAGCTGTGTGGTCAAGGCACCACCCTCTCCTACAAGCCACCCAATGTCAAGATTGGAGGCAGTGAGAACTGACATGGATTCCAGTCTCTTCTTGCTTGAGTTCATGCTGAACAGATGCTTGTTCTTGTTCTTCCCAACTTCACATCTATTTCCGCTTCCCAATGGTTTGCCTTGTTGATTTCAAGCTCCAGTGTCAGAGGCAAAGTCTGCCAGTTTACAGAGACTGTTTAGCCAGTTCCCAAAATTGTATTAGATCAAATTCTTGTGGCAAATCTCTTATTCCATAAAAACAGAGAAATCGATATAAAGAGATAGGTAGGTAGATGGATAAACAGACTCCTCCTCAATGGTTCTGATTGAACCCTAATACACGAAACACCATAGTGATTTGATCCCCATTATTATTCATTTAAAAATACATAATCGGGCTTCCCTGGTGGTGCAGTGATTGAGAGTCCACCTGCTGATGCAGGGGACACGGGTTTGTGCCCCAGTCCATGAAGATCCCACATGCCGCGGAGCAGCTAGGCCTGTGAGCCATGGCCGCTGAGCCTGCGCGTCCGGAGCCTGTGCCCCGCAACGGGAGAGGCCACAACAGTGAGAGGCCCGCGTACCGAAAAAACTTGATCCATCTCTTCTTGAACAGTCAGAATGTTACTTCATTTATTTCATTCCTTGAATTCATATTTCCATCCCATTTTAATGCAAATGTACTACTTTTACATTTTACTCAAATATTGATCACTCAATCACACTTCTCTTCAACTAAAATAAATTCACAAGTTATTTTTTTTTATTTCCTGTGGCCATGATGCTCAAAGTATTAAAACATGTCTTATGGATTTTATTCTTATTCCATTATTAATAGTAAGCTATTGATCAACATTACAAAAATACTTTATTAACTACTAGACATTTATTTTAGTTAGCAATTGCTGCTGACACTCCAAAACTCAGTGATTAAATCAATAATTTATTTTTCTTGCTCATGCGTCTGTGATTAGGAATCTACCTTTTTCCAGGTTGCTATTGCTGGGGGCAGATTACCTGGGATTATTCTGCCCAATGTGCCTCTCATCCTCTCCATGGACGAACTGCCTGGCCAGGCCACTTCTTTCCCATGGCTATGATGGAAACCTAAGAGAAAACATAGGCCAAGTGTTAGCTCTTCTCTAAATGTTTGATAGAATCTGCCTGCAAAGTCATCTTGTGGTGGGCTTTTATTAGTTGGAAGATTTTAAATCACAGTCTCAATTTCAGTGCTTGTGATTGGTCTGTTTATATTTTCTATTTCTTCCTAGTTCAGTCTCAGAAGATTGTGGTTTTCTAAGAATTTGTCCATTTCTTCCAGGTTGTCCATTTTATTGGCATATAGTTGCTTGTAGTAATGGCTCATGATCCTTTGTATTTCTGCAGGGTCAGTTGTTACTTCTCCTTTTTCGTTTCTAATTCTATTGATTTGAGTCCTCCCTTTTTTTCTTGATGAGTCTGGCTAATGGTTTATCAATTTTGTTTATCTTCTCAAGGAACCAGCTTTTAGTTTTATTGATCTTTGCTATTGTTTCCTTCATTTCTTTTTCATTTATTTCTGATCTGATCTTTATGATTTCTTTCCTTCTGCTAACTTTGGGGTTTATTTGTTCTTCTTTCTCTAATTGCTTTAGGTGTAAGTTTAGGTTGTTTATTTGAGATGTTTCTTGTTTCTTGAGGTAGGATTTTATTGCTATTAACTTCCCTCTTAGAACTGCTTTTGCTGCATCCCATAGGTTTTTGGTTCTTGTGTTTTCATTGTCATTTGTTTCTAAGTATTTTTTGATTTCCTCTTTGATTTCTTTAGTGATCTCTTGGTTATTTAATAGTATATTGTTTAGCCTCCATGTGTTTGTATTTTTTACAGATTTCTTCCTGTAATCGATATCTAGTCTCATAGCATTGTGGTTGGAAAAGATACTTGATACGATTTCAATTTTCTTAAATTTACCAAGGCTTGATTTGTGACCCAAGATATGATCTATCGTGGAGAATGTTCCATGAGCACTTGAGAAGAATGTGTATTCTGTTGTTTTTGGATGGAATGTCCTATAAATATCAATTAAGTCCATCTTGTTTAATGTATCACTTAAAGCTTGTGTTTCCTTATTTATTTTCATTTTGGATGATCTGTCCATTTGTGAAAGTGGGGTGTTAAAGTCCCCTATTATGATTGTGTTACTGTCAATTATCCCTTTTATGGATGTTAGTATTTGCCTTATGTATTGAGGTGCTACTATGTTGGGTGCATAAATATTTACAATTGTTATATATTCTTCTTGGATTGATCCTTTTATCATTATGTAGTGTCCTTCTTTGTCTCTTGTAATAGTCTTTGCTTTAAAGTCTATTTTGTCTGATATGAGAATTGCTACTCCAGCTTTCTTTTGATTTCCATTTGCATGGAATATCTTTTTCCATCCCCTCACTTTCAGTCTGTAGGTGTCCCTAGGTCTGAAGTGGGTCTCTTGTAGACAGCATATATGGGTCTTGTTTTTGTATCCATTCAGCCAGTCTGTCTTTTGGTTGGAGCACTTAATCCATTTACATTTAAGGTAATTATACATATGTATGTTCCTATTACCATTTTCTTAATTGTTTTGAGTTTATTACTGTAGGTCTTTTCCTTCTCTTGTGTTTCCTGCCTAGAGAAGCTCCTTTAACATTTGTTGTAAAGCTGGTTTGGTGGTACTGAATTCTCTTAACTTTTGCTTCTCTGTAAAGGTTTTAATTTTTCCATCAAATCTGAATGAGATCTTTGCTGGATAGAGTAATCTTGGTTGCAGATTTTTCTCCTTCATCACTTTAAATATGTTCTTCTACTCCCTTCTGGCTTGCAGAGTTTCTGCTGAAAGATCAGCTGTTAACCTTATGGGGATTCCCTTGTGTGTTATTTGTTGTTTTTCCCTTGCTGCTTTTAATATTTTTTCTTTGTATTTAATTTTTGATAGTTTGATTAATATGTGTGTTGGCATGTTTCTCCTTGGATTTATCCTTATGGGACTCTCTGTGATTCCTGGACTTAACTATCTCTTTTCCCATATTAGGGAAGTTTGCAACTATAATCTCTTCCAATATTTTCTCAGTCTCTCTCTTTTTCTCTTCTTCTTCTGGTACCCCTATAATTCGAATGTTGGTGTGTTTAATGTTGTCCCAGAGGTCTCTGAGACTGTCCTCAATTCTTTTCATTCTTTTTTCTTTATTGTGCTCTGCAGTAGTTACTTCATTATTTTATCTTCCAGGTCACTTATCCGTTCTTCTGCCTCAGTTATTCTGCTACTGATCCCTTCTAGAGAAGGTTTAATTTCATTTCTTGTGTTTTGCATCATTGTTTGTTTCCTCTTTAGTTCTTCTAGGTCCTTGTTAAATGTTTCTTGTATTTTCTCCATTCTATTTCCAAGATTTTGGATCATCTTTACTATCATTTTTCTGAATTGTTTTTCAGGAAGCCTGCCTATTTCCTCTTCATTTGTTTGGTCTGGTGGGTTTTTGCCTTGCTCCTTCATCTGCTGTGTGTTTCTCTGTCTTCTCATTTTGCTTAACTTAATGTGTTTGGGGCCTCCTTTTCACAGGCTGCATGTCCGTAGTTCCCGTTGTTTTTGGTGTCTGTCCCCAGTGGCTAAGGTTGGTTCAGTGGGTTGTGTAGGCTTCCTGGTGGAGGAGACTAGTGCCTGTGTTCTGGTGGATGAGGCTGGATCTTTTCTTTCTGGTGGGCAGGTTCATGTCTGGTGGTGTTTTGTTTTGGGGTGTCTGTGGTTTTATTATGATTTTAGGCAGCCTCTCTGCTAATAGATGGGGTTATGTTCCTGTCTTGCTAGTTGTTTGGCATAGGGTGTCCAGCACTGTAGGTTGCAGGTCGTTGAGTGGAGCTGGGTCTTGGTGTTGAGATGGAGATCTCTGGGAGATTTTCACCATTTGATATTACATGGAGCTGGGAGGTCTCTTGTGGACCAGTGTCCTGAAGTTGGCTCTCCCACCTCAGTGGCTTAGCCCTGATGCCTGGCTGGAGCACCAAGAGCCTGTCATCCACACATCCAATGAAAGAAAGAAAGAAGAGGTTAACCTTTTTAAAGGCTCAGAAAGAAACTAAAGATGGCTGTGAGAAAGTAAGAATGATTCACACAGCTCTTGAACTTGGCCTTTTGAGAGAACAGATATATTCTACCATGTGTTTACAGCATCTAATCCCAATCACCTCCACAAGAAAACCAGTAATGAAAGCTGATTATGCCATAATGTAACACTAGAATGAATGATCCATCTATTTTCCATTGTTTACTGAGTTACAAGAAGTTACCATGGTTCAGGCAGCCTCATTACAAGCAATGCTAACCATGCAGTGTGAATGGAGATTACATAACAGCACCAGGGATGGTGCATTATGAAATCAAATGGTTCCTTGTTTTATAGGAACAAAGTAGTCTGCTAAAAGGTGAGTATAGCAAGAGAGAGAAAAAATGTTCAAGAAAACATGTAAGTCACATTTAATGTAAAAGTTTGTTACCTAAAATAATTAAGAAATAGTTTATGACACTAAAGCAAAAAAATGGATATTTTAGAGAGTAAGAAGTATGTAAATAAAACAAACCTCACAATTTTGTCCCTAATCTTTATGACTTGATTCAAATATTCCATTATTTTTCAAGCCACAAACAGCAGGAAAAACAACCATTGTTGCTTCAATAACTTTCACTTTCTTTTGCTTTGTTTTGTTTTGGTTTTTAGCTTGAAAGTTTTTCTTGAATTAAGTTTGCTGTATATTGATGTGTTTTTTCAAATGCAATTGTAGGATATCTCCCTTGTGAACAAAGGGATTGATGGATGCATGTCCAAGGGATAGTTCATCTTTTAATATTAGATGCTCTGCGGGTCCAGAACCAGTGCAGAAACTTGAAAAACATTCCATAAACTGGAGTAATTTTGTACCTTGTTTAAAATGGGTGCTCAGTAGATCATGTTAAATAGATAACTGACTGAGCCCCATTAAATAAATAATGAGCTATTAGAATTAACAGAAAGTTTTCTAGCAACATATTGAAAGTAATGATGCACTTAATATGTAAAAATCAAGATTGAAAAAAAATCTCTTATACTTGAAAAGTTACATTTTACCTACTCTGAAGTAAAAGAAAAAGGATAAACTCTTTCTTACATGATTCCTAAATTGTGTCTGTCAGGAGAAAAAAGAAACCAAATTATAAAACAGAAGTTTTAATTTAATAAAAGCAGGTCAAGACAACATCACGCAGCCTTCATTGCGTTTTCAACTTATCAATAACAATCAAGTGAGTGTTTCCTCATAAGGAGGTATGTAGCGTCAAAAGAATATTGATTCTGAGATCTCAGAACAGGCAGATTCTAACAGGAAAAGAGGCAAGAGTTTACTGAATAAACACATTTTGAAATACTGACAGGCAATCTTGGAAACAATCCATTGCCTAACTCAATTGTGAAGCACGTAATTGAAATTGTTTTAGTAGAAGAGTTTATTATCTGTGCTTTATGATCCTGATGAATTATAACTCAATGTAGAAAGTGCTGGAAACTGCAAATTTGACTAGTATAATGGAAGGAATACTGAGCTTGGCGTCTGAAGGCGTGAGTTGAGTTTCAGCTTCTTTACTTACTCGGGTATATTCCTTGAGCAGATTACTTAATCTTTCTGAGTCAACTGTGCCCATGAATAATTTGGTAGATGGGCTAAAACACTTTTGAAAGACTAAAGAGCTGAAGGAATTATTATTTTGCAAGTTTATGTAGGAAATATACACAAAGGTATACATTTTTATTTAAAATTTTTAATTTCTTTAATGAGCAATTTATGGATATTAAAATAGGTTGAACTGAAAATGACTTTAAAAATTAAAGTTCACTAGATATGCCTTACGTGCCTTTGGTTGAACTTCGGTGTCAAATGACATCTGTCTAGCAGCTCATCATATTGCCACTCTATGAATTCACAGAATAAGATCAAAAGGCACAACAATAAATTAAGCTCTATAAAGTCATGGATATTTTATCCTGTATCCCCAGTGCCTAAAGAGCACCTAGCATGTAGGAGGAATTCCATAAATATTTCATGAAAGAATAAATTAATTAACCAGGAC